GATGTTGATATTCGTTCTTCAGGGTAGAGATCATTTGTCATCAACCTGCTAATTCTGCTCTGGAAGACCATTCCCTTTTCTGTGAGTGATCATTTGCAATTTCTACATGGACCATGCATGCTCCTGTCAGGCAGTGTAGAGACTGAGAAGTCTATACCCTTGTGTCTGCTATTGTTCCTCTCTCTTTGATGAGATGATTCCTCATGGCACTTCCATGGTTCTTAGTTGTTTAAGCAAATGCTTCAGGATCATCTCTAAAGGATATTCCTACACATGAGTGGACATCTCCAAAGTTCTCTGGAAGCACATATCTGAGTCCCACTCTTAAGCATTAATCAGATATTTTAGTGCCAGTTAAGAAGTTAGACACTCTATCAGGGTTGGGCATTTATACAGGTTCTTTTCCCCTGTTGTTTTTACTTACTTGACAAAAATATAAAAGAAACTTCACCATTTGCCATGTCAAAATTCATTCTATGACTAAAAGTCCTGACTGAGCCATGCTCACTTATCTTTGCTGGTTCACTGGTGGTCATATAAAGGGTGTTCCATTCCCATCAGAGTCCCATCAGAAACTATAATCAAACGTTATTTAAAAATTTTCTCTGACTTCATTCATCAAGAGTTTCTCTTCCCTTTTTGATCAACACAAAAGCAGTGATCACTACCAAAGGAGGGAGAACTTATAAAATAATTTCAAACACAATGTAACAGAAATACTGGAAATGGAGGTATTTTTTTGAAATAGATTAAGCTCTATTATCAAATGAAAGAGCTCTACCCAATAGTTCTTTCCCTGAAACACCTTCTGTGTTACAAACACCCTTGAAATATATAACTAGTCACATTGTCGGCTCTACGAACAATGCAGAGACAATACCAATAGAGTAAGTGTATAGAATGAACTGATTTATAAAGTGATTCTGAGCGGGAAGTAGATGGCCAGGCTTAGGTGCACATGAGTTGAACACACATATAATGCCTCCCCCAAAAACAGACACACACACACACACACACACACACACACACACACACACACATGACTGTTTTTCAGGTGCCTGTGAGAAGTCTGTTGTGGACAGGTCCATACAAACTAGACAAGTACAAGAGTCCTTCATCCTGGGCTTCTGGTTGGTTCCTCTGCTGGAGGTGTTCAGAGTGGGCTCCCTGTTGGAAAGACTCAGAACTTTTGCCTCTTTATAGACAGTTTGCCTGTGGGAGTGGCTCTTGGTGAATCCACTTATCATTAAACATAAGAAATTCTTTTGCAACATTGAAAATAAACATCCAGGTAAGTGCAATTCATTCTGAAGGACTTCTGATCTTGAGCACATTCCCCATTTTCCTCTACTTCTAAATTTTTTGCTCTGGGCCTCCAGAACTACATGGGTCTAGGTTGCCAGTCTTAGATGGTGCAATCCTGCGTGCATATCCACCCATCATAGGAAAAAAAAACCTGTCTCTGACCTTTCATTGGATGAGTTTCGAAGCAACCATCCTCTTGGCTCCAACGCATCTCCTCCCTTTTCCCTGTAGAAAGGTTAAAACATCTACATGTATGCTCTGGGAGTCATGAGCTCACAGACATGAATGCCAAGATTCTGGGATACAAAATTCTGGTCTTGTCTTATGTCTGGGCTTAGATGTGGGTGAGAGGCTGATGCAGGGCACTCCACTGTGTGGGCCCTTTAGAGAGAAGGTTTGTAGGGTCCTGTGTGTGTGTTTCCCTCTGACATGATTATCAATATTACATTCTTCCTAATCTACTGAAAACTGGGAAAGAGTGCTTACTTAGCTGGGAGGATGCCTGAATCAGGTTATTATCTCTTAAGGAAATTGAGTCATCAGTCCGTAAAATACTGATCATTTTGGAAGGTGTTACCATGATTAATTTCTTCAAAATTAAGTGAATGTGCTCATCAGTTTCACAATATCATGCAATGAATATAAATTTTGTATTTTTTTACTTTTTGGGTTCTCCTTGGCCTAGTCCACTTCAGACATAAAAACTACCTCATACCCCTCCCCAGGGGGATATTGATATCTTTTGTAAGCCAGCTTCAACTGCCTGCAATCTTCATACTAAAAATAACTGTCTGTGTGGATTTTTGAATACAGGAATGTATGTGATTTTTTTCACACAGTGACAGCCATTTTTTGTGCCAATTATGAGTACAGTCATTCCCCCCAGAAAAATGTCTGTCTAGGTAAACTTCACCAAATGATAATGACTTGGATTATAGTTTTCACTGTGACATTTCATCAGAACTTTGGTAAGTAGTTCCCCCTCAGAGTGAAAGTCATTACCCTCAATAATTGCAGTTGTTATTAATTGTCACTATCAGTGTTGTTATTTAGATTCAACCTTCGTATTGTTGGGGACCAAGCAGAGGTGGTAATGGCTCAGGCACAGAAGGACAAAGTTCACATCCTCCCATGTAAGAGCAGCTCTGGGGCTCCTCACCCTCCTCTGGCACTTTGTCTCTTGAAATCAACTCCTCTATCAGCTTCCTGTGAGTCAGTAAAACCAAAGAAAACCCCAGAATTCCATCCATGCAGGTAGAGAAACATAGAAAAAGGAGGAGGAAGAGGAAGGGGAAGAAGAGAAGAAGGAAGGAGAAGAAGAAGGAGAAGGAGGAGGAGGAGAGGTGGAGGAGGAAGGAGAAGGAGAGGAGGAGGAAAGGGAAAAGAACACAACAACAGCAACAATGTGGAGGAGGAGGAGGAATAGGGATAAGAGGATAAAATGGCAATAAATACATACATGTCAATAATCACTTTAAATGTGACCGGCTCACTCACTCCAAGCAACAGACAGAGGGTAGCGGAGTGGATAAGGAAACATGACCCAAGTGCATGATGTCCCGGGGCCAGTTCCTGCCCAGGTGTGAAAATAGTCAAAATCTGCCCAAGGGTTTTGCTTTCAATCTTAAACATAGAATCGGGCAGAATATTAAGACCTACACAAACTAGTGGTTCTAGTAAATATATCAACACATGCAGTAGATAAATAACACCGACTGCTTTTTAAAGTTCTTAATATTAAAGAATGAGACAGATGGTATTGAGGAGAAAGAATACAGGATGTAGAGTTAAAAAAGGCTTCCATTATGCTCACATATATTATTTTCCCCAATACAAAATTTCCTGCAGATAAATAGCGATTACACATGATGCAGTTCCTCTTGTTTGTATGTTGGTTTTACATTTCTCAGTCACCAGCTTCTGATACCATATTTCAAGGTACAAATATACATGGAAAGTAAGAAATGGAAACTGTGACCCTGGTATTATCATATATCTCATCAAATTGACAGGAATAAAAATTGAAAACAGTGAGTTTTCATTTTCTCAGTTTTCCATGAAATGAAACAGCACATTTTTGTTGGTACCAATAAATAGTGACACCAGGTTCCATAGCCAAGACTGAATAAAGGCCTTGGTTTTCAATTAAAGTGTTTGAAAGTGTCTTCTTCTTCAGCACTGTTTTACAATAATAAGAGCAATGGTCACCCTGTGGGGATAGTTGTCTACAATTGAGAGTAGAAGCTCAGTTTCCATGTTCATATGTCAGGTGCTAAAAAAATAGTGTCAGTAGAGAGATGGTATCTATGTATATGTTACACTTATTTAGAATTGTGCACTTCTTAAACCTTCAGAATATGCTTTTATCAATTATTGTGATATCAACCAGATGGCATGTATGGGTGTTTATGTGTAGGTGTATATATATATACATAGTCCAGAAGAATATATATGATATTCTTCTAAAGAATGTACTTTATAAGAAGAATACTGTTCTGCATAATAGCCACAATGTAAATGAAGATTATAAAAGATCAAAGACAAAAATTAATTTTATTAAGTACATTTTTATTAAAGTTTTTCAAAAAAATTTGTTTTTAAAATACTGATGCTGACACTCTTCTATAATTGCATAATTATATATTTCAACTGAGATTCCCAAGGGGACAGTTTGTAACATTAAGACATCATTTTGGCTCAGTGATGGACCCAGGTTCAAGGTCATTCTCCTCCAAGCTAACATGAGATAATTCATTGCTGGACACCTTTTTGAGATTGATTCTGTTAAAGTTCTTTAAACAGTGTCATTAGAGAGCTTTGCTGATAATGCTGGCCTAGAGTTGCACCTGAACTCTCTACCAGTCTGATGAGCTGCCAGCAGGTGCCATTGCTTCCAATCTTAAAATAGCTCTTTTTAGGGTGAGGGACAGAGCTGTCTCTCCACCGTAGTTCTGTGTTGGTCCCCTGGGGAACAGGTTCTTCCTGGGACCTCTGCTTGGGCCAGGGAGGGGAAAGCTTCCTCAATCTGCATGGAGGGTCTTGGCTCTTACCCAGGGGTCACTGTGCCTCCCCAGAGAGACGTAAGGGGTGGGTATCACAAGTAGATTAGGGGGTGTCTGCAACTCCCCTCTGGTAGGTAGAGGTCAAGTACGAGGCAGAACACCTCTCAACAGAGAGCTGCCTGGCCAATGTGCCGGTCGCTGGTGGAGCTGAGGTTGAGAAACCCAGTTAATGTGTGTCCACATGTTGCTCTCCCACTTGATAAGCCTCGGGGCCCTTGGGACCTGCCAGTTGCTATGCAGTTTGTGTTCCTCCCAGCCACCTGACACTGACTACCCAGTACTTTCCGCTTAGTCTATCCCTCCCGCCAGACCCCGGTGGGTATGCAGTGAATCCGATGGTCGTTCTTGCCTATTCCTACTTCCTAGCAACCTCTGTCCTCCATTAAGTCCTCTTCTGTTCCCACCATACATATGTGTCATATATCAATTATATATATATCTTTAATATATGTATATATATTAATATATACATATATGTATATAATATACACATATATATGTATATAACATATATACATATATATTAAAGATATGTATGTATAAATAGGTATACATTTATATTTATATTAAATATATGTTTCCTTACAGGGAATTTTCATTCTCTATAGAGTTGATTCCACAATGCAATAGTCTTTGCCCTTTTGGTTTTGGCTGCATGCCCAGTACTGACAATGGATAAATGAAAGTGTCCTTGTGTGGCCCTGGTTGATTTTTCCATTGGGAAAATTTGGGAATGCTCACTATTTAACAGGGATACTTCATGGTAAAAAAGAAAACTAAACAAACTAACAAATAAAAACAGAATAAAAGAAAGTACCAGTGAAGAACCTATAGTCCAAACCATGTGCAAGAGTGATTCAGTTAAAGTCTCTGGAATAGGGGAGGAAATGGGGGCTTTCATAATAATGCCCTCAACAAAAATAGAGAAAAAGATGGAAGCGGATCTTGCACACACAGAGGGGTAGGCAACACAGCAATGCCTAGAGGGCAGGTGCTCTGGAAGAAATGAGGGACCGGCAGCATCCCACACATGAGTAGTGGTGTTTGAGACATGCAAAGACAGGACAGCCAGTCATACCAGATTCAACAAGACCAATGGGAAATATGCCAAGGGAGACATGCAGACTGTCACCAATCTAGGGAAACCCATGTGCAGAGTAGAGGGCGATAGATCCCTATGAAATAATTACCCAGGTTATTGATTTGAACACATCTTCCAAGAAGTTTCATTGGTCTGACTCAGGTACAAACCCTGGACCCAATAAATATCATGCAGTTTGGATGCAGGCTGAGGGGCCAAACAGCTCTGGTGTAGGACAGGTCAGCATGAAATGTGGGCACAAAGGCAACCTCAGCACCATCTTGCAAATATTGTCTCTCAAAATTCTAACCCTGGTATCACCTTAAGCCTCATGCTTGCCATTGAGAGTCTCTCACACTGTTCACATGGAGGGGAAAAGGCAGCCAAAAAACTACTTATTCCATGACCTACCTCAAGCTCCTGGAGAGTTCTGAGGTCCTCTAAAAATTTTAAAGCATATTAAGGGTTACCAGTAGGACTGGACTCTATATCCCAAGAAGGTCAGCGAGACCCCTTCCTGAAAGAAGAGTCCCGTCATCCTTATCTACCAGTTACCTTTGCTTCCTTTGCAGTACTGGTATTTTTCAGTTCGATTCTGTTGGTTCTTTATTTTAATTTAAGCATGTGTGTTTGCTTTAGTAAATGATGGAAACTCTATTCCCCTGAGATATGTCAGTCAGCCTCTGGGCATGGCTCTTCAAAAGAATGTTTACTGTGGATTAGGTAGGAATTGCTGTCTCTCCCTGGCCCTGTCGATGTTATGGGGGCACATTGATGTCCATTATTTGAACAAAAGAGTCAGCAACATAAATCACAGGCCACGCTTCTTGTCGTAAGCACCCTACAGCAGAGCAAGGCTCAGGGTCTGCACAATGACAAATTCTACCAACATACCACCATATTAAACACATTTCTTCAAGAGTGCAGCCCAAAGTGCCTCATACGATAAAGTTGGACCCAAGCAAACATGAGAAAATGTCTTCTGCAGGATTCCAACTGTGCAGGACTTGACCCGTGTTTGATAAACACAACTTTAATGGATGTCACCTGTCCACACTGCCTAGGACTATCAACTCTGCATCAGTGAGACACATCAGTTCATGTTGCTAGAAGGGTACCTTCCAGTAAATGGGGACAGAACACAAGTGAGCTACCCAGGAATTGCCAACTCGATCACCTGTTCAAAGTTCCAGGATGCAAACAAAGCAATGCAGAAGCACGGAGTGTCTGGGGGTTCTATTCTGAAGGAGACTCTGTTGCTCAGACTTGGGTTTTGTTAACGCTTTGACAGACATTGGGAGAGCATATTAGAAGTCTGTCTGTGTGAGGACCATGTGGGGAGAAGAGAACACAGCACCCACAAGTGTTTTCAAAGGTCAGTTTGTTTGCTGCTGTCAAAAATTCTGAATATGCACTCCTCAAAAAGTCATTTCTATTTACAAAAGTTTGAAAGTTTAAAACTAATTGGTACATATATAAATGGTGTCATGTTGAAATATTTAATAAATAACTTTAACTGCCTAAGAAATGTTTGTTGACTGACAGCCTCACAGCTTTTTTGTTGACTGGAGGCCTCACTGCACGGCAATGAATTTGTCCACAGCCCTTTCCCTTGTGAAGCTGGTTTACACCTTTTGCTGTAATTCTCCTGTAGGCTTCCTCTAGTCAATGCTCCTCAAAATTGATGCTTATGAAGCCCTGAGACTATTGATGACATGTTTTCTTAGACTGTTCTATTTCCAATGGATATTTGTGTGTTTTTTAAGTTAAGCAACATGCTTCACAGACACGCATGGACAGATTTGCTCTGAAATCCATTTACTGAATACTCAGAAATGCAGTAATGCCACACAGGCTCTGAATGGTGACTGTCAGGGAGGATAGAGAGTGAGCTCATGGAGAGAGACACATGATGTTGGGGAGGAACAAGGGGAGAATTCTTCCTACTGTTGATTGGGTTTCATGGAGAAGATGTGCTTGGTTCTCAGGACATAGTCTATGGGATAGAAAAACAAGCCTAAAGATTAGCTGAGTCGATAGGATAACAGCTTGACTGGGGAGACTGCAGGACATGGGGTGTGACAGGTAGGAAGAGGTGATAGTGAATATCTTGGACAAGTTCCAGGTGGCTCTGGGCCCTCACCATCTCTCTGATATGGAAGCCTGTGCTTGGAATTTCTTCAGGATGCAGGTTTGGTGGGACCTTCCTATGCAGGAGTTTTTTATCTCAAGGCTAATGTCTATGGAGATGGTCTCTCTAAAGGAGATTTGCAGTATGTCTGATTGAGCTACACTTCTGTCCTAAAATGCCTAAAGTTTCTGAGGCTTCAAATTTATATTCATCCTGAAAGCTAACATTGTGGATTGTGTTTTTCAAGAGATAGAATAAAACACATGTTTTCCTGGACCCATGTCATCCTAGAAGATACATCACTTTAGGAACCTTCTAAAAATCATAGAGTAATCAAATCATCAGCAAAGCAGCACATGTCAGAGGGTGTGGCCGAAAATCTCCCAGTGGCTGTCGCAAGGAGCTTGCCCCTCATTGCTGCTCATCATCGTCTGTCTCTCTTCATAAACTCAGCCACTTTCCTTTCTGCCACTCACCATTCAGAGCCTGTGTACAGTTAGCGGATTTTGTGAAATAGACTTCCTGTTTTCCAGAGTGGATGTTCTCCTTCAGCCCTCTTTCTCTGGAGGGCTGATCTCTGCGGACCAACTATGGAGTCTAGAGCGGGTGGAAGACTCATGCTTTTCCATCTCAGTAGAGACTCCTGATAGTTCCTGTTTCTCCCTCAAAACCAGTTTTTCTATGTGACCCTTCTGTGTTAATGCTTCATCACCACAACTCCATCAGCATGAATCCACCTTCCCAATTAGCCATTTCATGGTTCTGAGAAGAAACAAAATATGTAACATCACAGGAATGACTCATCTAGTGGCGGAATTTCCTTGTTGGGAGAGAACGTTTTTATGTAACATATACATCAATGTGAGGTCCAAGGTGTGCTTATTAAATTGTTTGCCAGAACAGCTTAATGACAGCTCATTGATACTTACTACTTCTGAGAAGTGAAGTCTGTTTTCATAAATTTTCAGGACAGTTGTCTGTGGACAGAAGAAAAGGAACAAAAGGAACAGGAAATAAAAGGACAGTCGGTCAGTGCCATTTCCCAATATGGCCATGGAGTATTAATAGTTTTAAAACAACTTATTTTAAAAAAGTGATTTACAGAAGATAAAATTTAAGATAATTCAATTTGTTTCCCAAGAGAATATTTTCCCATGAATTAAATGAGATATTCAGAAAAACATGTAGTCGCATTACCATAATTGATTACATTCACAATATTCTCTTCTGGAATATTCATTTCCTGAGTCAGCTCCTTGAACTTCTCGAAGTCTACCTCATTCACCTGGGGTCCTCTTCCTGCAAGTCACCAGACAAGAAGAAGAAATTGGCTCTTTGGAACTCCTAGGAGTCTCTGAATCCACGAATGAGAAAAAGAAATGGAAGTCAGGAGTTCCCGTGGTGATTTTAAAAGTTGCAGAGGTCATGAGTTCCTTCCAGAGTCAGCTGCCTCATTGAGGTCCAGGAGCACAATGCAGCCCAGTCCATCTCTGTCACGACATGCACTCCTGTGCCAGCTGGGGGCTCCGGAGACAACCATGGGTGCCAGGAAGTTGGGCCCCTGTGTATAGGACCTATACTTTCTGGCATCCCTGGCTTCTTCAGACCAAAATACACTGGAAATGTGGTCCTGACCTTCCAGAGAACCAGTCCTGTCCTCATGGTCATGGGAGGTAAGTGGTCTCAGGTTGGACTACTCTGTTGCCCGCACTTTATCCAAATGAAGGCTCATTAGCTGCATGGCTAATGCACATCTCTTAGTGTCCCTATGTTGTTTCTCAGTGGTTGAGATTCTCAACCTTCACGAGACCAATGTTTGGGAAGTGGTACACATAATGCAGGTTTTTTTACAAAGCTTCCAGTCCCAGGCTTAGAAAGTATTAGAAACACTGTTTTAAAATGAAGGAATTGGGGTCAACTTGTACAGAGCCAGGACTTAAAATCTTTTCACCTATTAAAAAAATTTTCCTGACAAGGCTAAATTCTTAAAAGTAATTTAAGAAGCAGACATTATTTCCAAGTGCCTGAGGGTCTTAATGTCCCACCTCTACCAGCTCCTCTTTTAATCATCTTTGTAGACTGATTCCATGTCCTGTCACGAGGTGATGATAAAGACCTCCTATCAATAATGAATGATTTCCAGTTCAAATAGATTGTGTGACTATAAATACTGACAATAGAAATGTGAAATGACAATAACAAAGGAGATGATACTTACCTAAGAAGTCAAGTACCTTGGTGACCTCATTATTTTCATCCAGGTTGATGTTATACGTCACCATTGATGTTTCTGATGCATAAATAGGTTCATAAAGATTTGCACCTGCATCTGTGTGAGAGAGAGAAGAGATAGATAGATGCAGAGTTAGAGACCGTTGCCTTAAGTTATCATAACTTCATTTATCCAACCTTAATTAACATATGGGGAACAATGCTTCCCATATTTTTCTCTAACTCCAATGATATAATAATTGTTAAAATTGAATATAAAATCTTAAAAACATAAGAACAAACTTTCTTTAATGCCACCTCTTTATAGTATATAACATCTCACAATTTCCAGTCTTACTAAAATGTTTTATCAAACCTGGGTGTCATGAAGACAACATGAGCCAGTTGTTATATTCATATTATTAAATAGAAAAATAAATACTCCTTGTATTTCTCCTGTCCCACAAACAGGAATGATTTTTCCTTAGTATGGAAATCAATTTAAGTTTGGTCAAAGGGTGGAATTTTGGATGTAAACAAATTGTCATTAGGTCATAGGGAATTTGGAATGTTTTGGAGGTCCTTTAGAGCTAATTTAAGGGAAAGATATCTTAACAAACATCCCCACTGCTTAGAACAAACACTTTGGTTATGGAAAAATATGTTTGGTGTTTCTAACCACTAGGAGTTGTTTCAATTTTACATAAATCAACCTTATATTGAAAGTAGAAAGTTGTTTTAATATTATCAAATGTGTGTTTATTTAGTGCAAAATGACATGGATCATTCAATTGCACATAGACCTGTTGGGCTTGACTACTTCAGGTTATTTGGAATGATCAGGAAATATATTACACACCTGAAAGCCTAAAGAAAAAAACATTTTTTTGAATGTGATCTTACTTTTGACTGAGGAGCCATCAAAATTGAAAGGGTTCTCCAAAGCAATATCATGTAAATATTTGAGCAGGATGACATTGAAATATGGGATAACTGAAGGGTCATGATTATTGGTAGATACTGAATTAAGATTATTAATATCTTGGGAAAAAATGAGAGCAACAATTCTACCCTAAAGTCCTTGTACCACAAGTCAACTGTACTTACAAGCACCAGCAAAAACATTGCCTTGGATCCTTGTCCCAGTTACAGTCACTGGCACACATTGTCCATTTTCCCTGGAAAGGAAAACATCTTCAAGAGTGATGGAGAAGAAGAACAATTTCCTCTGTAAATGAGATTTTCACAGTATCTCCCTCCTGTGACCCAATGCCAGATATCCTTTAGCACCTACAGTCAATATGACGTTGACAAGAGAAAGAACTTGTCATCCAAGGCTTCGTGACAATCAAGGGACAAGGATGTCACTGTCTACACTGGAAATCAGAGAGTACTTTTGAAACAATTATCACCAAACAGGATACCACTGTATCTTCAAAAATTATACCTTCAGAAATAAACTTTATTAAGCTCCTTGTATTGATGACTTTTTAATTTGTGCCTTACTCTTTATCAGGAAAAAACAGTGCCCCTTCAATTCAGTTTTAATTCCTTCCCAATCCTAACAGATGCATGGCTCCCTCTCTTATTTCCAAACTTTTCCTCATAACTTTCATTTGTCAAGGTATTTGCAAGTGTAGAAAGATTTCAGTCAAATCTTTTCCTTCCTATTGATGACCCTTGCACCTCCTCTTTATTTATACCACAAATTTGTTTTGCAAATGTCAAGTTTACTGTACATCCCCATGCAATTATATATGGATATGAAGAACTGTAACACATAAAACTTGACAATGTCATCTCTGTCAATAACATAAATATGTGTTTTAATCTCTTGGTGATTGGGTCTCTCAGCACAAATGGATGTTTTTGATACCCTGCATGTCTGTGATTTCAATTATTTCTTCTGTTCACTTATTTAGGAATTTTCTTCTTAAATCTAAATTTTGATGTGGCAATAATTGTTGTTTCAGATAAAAATGATTAAAGTATGTGAACTGTAGGTATTATTTAGTAATAGAAATGTTGTTGATGTCTGTGTGTGTGTGTGTGTGACAGAGAGATACGAAAGACAGAGACAACAGACAGAGTGAGAGAAGAGAAGGTTGTATAATACCTACAATGTCTTTACTTACTTTGAAGCCTCTATTGATCAACATCATCAAATCGGGAATGAAGAAGAAATTTGAGAATTGAAGGTTTGTTTTTATGATATATCATGAGTTCATGGAAAGCATAACAGTAAAGTAGAATCTCTCAACTTCTTTATATTTCAGCACATATCCATATCGAGTAGGGGGCACTTAAAACTAATAGTTGGAAACACAAGACCATTCATGACCAAGTACAATTATTCCTGCTATGACCTACCTGTACAATTCCCTCCACATGTCTGATGCACAGGTCCCTGGCCCTGCTCTCTATTTCCCACCACGAGATTTTACATTAGTGGTTGCAGCTGACTAGGGGCATATTTCTTCCTACTCCTCCTTTTTTCTTTGAAATTCCAAACCCACCTGCAGGTTCATCCTAAACCTGTCATATCACCCCTACCACTATTAAAACTCACAGGACTATATTCATTTCCCATTTCAGGATGGAAACTTTCACATCGTCTACACCATTATTACAGGGTTTGGCACATAGTGTCATTACCAGTTTCATCATCTGTCTCTTTTACTCTGACCATTGAGAGTTAAAAGGAAACCTCCTTTATGTACTCTTCTTCTTTTTCTTAACAACATGCCAGCAATGTGCTAAACAACCAGTCTTCTTAGTGAGTTGAGAAATTCATTAGATATTGATATTCATACATCAGGGTAGAGATCATTTGTTATCTACCTGCTAACACTGTTCTGGACCATATGTCCCTTAATGGGAACCATCAGTAGCATTTTCTACATGGACCACTCAGGTTCTTGCCAAGCACTGTAGGGACTGAGAAGTCTAAAACCTTGTGGCTGCCGTTGTTCCTCTTTTTTAGTGAGATGATTCCTGGTGGCACTTCTGAGCTCTTTATTGCCTAAGCAAACACTGCAGGACCTTGTCCAGAGGATCAATCTAGACCTGAGGGACATCTCCAAAGTTCTTGGTAAACACAAAACTCAGTCCCCCTCTTGAACATGACATGGATATTCTAGTGCCAATAGGGGAGTCAGACCCTCTTTCAGTCTTGAGCATTGATATTGGTTTTGTCCTTTGTTATTATTACTTACATGACATAATATTTTAAAACAACTTTGCCATTTTCTGTGTTAAAATAAATTTCACGCTTAAAAACCAAGAATGGTGCATTCCCATGTGTCTTCACTGGGTCACTGGAGGCGATATAAAGAGTCCTCCATTCTCCTGAAAGCTAAAAGCAAAGTCCCATCAGAAATTATCGTCAAACCTGATTTTAAAATTTTCTCTCACCTCACTCATAAAGAGTTTCTCACCCCTTGTTGACCATTACAAAACCATCTATCTTTACCAAAGGAGGCTGAATTTAGAGAATCCCTTCAATACTCAATGTAAAAGACAAACAGGAACTGAGATATTGTTGAAATCGATTAAGCTCATTTATCACATGCAAAAATTCCCACTCAACATTTCTTTAGCTGAGCACCTTCAGTTTTACATTTACAGATGAAATATATAACTAGTCACTTGGTAGACTCTACCAACAACACAGCATCAACATCAGGACAGTGGAAATGTGTTGCATGTCTAAAAAGTTCAGTTACTTTTTCCATTCCTTGGCTCTGGTGGCAGTTACTTCTCTTTATATGCATTCAAAACAATTTTCTTACATTGTATTTTGAGAGGTAGCATACCACCAGGCACATAAAAACAATTTTCAAGGCCGGTTAATTTTCTTGTAGGCACTTTAGTATCAAAAACTCCAGGAGATACGCTACATTCTTGACATAATAAAGCAAAGCATTGTTTTATTATTTCAAATAAGGGAAAATGCAACTGCAATGCAAAAAAGGATTTATACGGAGTATGGAAAATGAGCTGTGACTCATCAAATGTGTCAAAAGTGGTTTGTTAAGCCCTTTGGTACAATTGTCATTTTACCAAAATTTTTTTTCCGAGGGGCTGCTTTATGTATTGGAAAATGATTAGCAACATCTTTGACCTCTATCCAGTGGAAGCCAAAGCGGGAGATGCTGACACAGTCCAAATTCCAAATTAATGGGGTTACTGACGAAAATGGAAAATGTGCCCGTATATCATGGAGAGAAAAAAAAAAAAAAAACTAAGCCTACGTTTTAGCAAAACCAATTGGAGGATTTGATTAACAAGGCTATTCTGCGTTGGAGAAAGATGGCTGGGCTTAGGAGCACAAAAATTGTGTACACATATAAGTACTCAAGAAAGGACAGTCACACAGAAATACATACACACACAACACTTTTTCTCAGGTACCTGAGAGAGGTCTATTGGAGACTGGTCAGCGCAAATCAGACCTATTACAAGTATCAGCAGCAGGATCTTCATCCTTGGCTTCTTGTTGGTTCTTCTGTCGGAGGGGTTCAGAGTGTGTTACCTGTTGGAGAGACTCAGAACCTTTGTCTCTTTATATACTGTTTGCCTATGGGAATGGCATATGGTAAATCCACCTATCATTTATTGTAAAAGATTGTTATACAACAGTGAAAATAAACATCCTGGTGAAATATGAAGCATCCTAAAGTTCTTCCAGATATTGGGCACATTTCCCATTTTTCTCCTGCTGCTAGGGTGCTTCTATGTGGACATCCTCCACTGAAAAATTAACTCTCCTTGACCTTTCGTTTGATGAGTTTCAAGGGAATCGCTCTATTGGCCTCAATCCCTCTCTTCTGTGCTCCATGAAGAAAGACAAGAATATCTACATTGTGTGCTTTGGACATCAGGAGCTCAAAGATGTGAATGCCAAGATTCTTGAGTGTAAAGGTCTTGTCTTGGATTACACCCAGATCACACATGGGTGAGGCACTGCTGTAGGTTGCTCCATTCTGTGGAACCCTTAAGACAACTCTTGGAGGGTCCTGAGAGCATGTTTCCCTCTCTCATTGTTATGACTATTTCATCATTTCATTCATATGGAAGCTAGTGGCAGAGTAAGTGGGGAGGACACATCTGAATCAAGTTATTATCTCTTAGGAAATCAAGATATCTGTCCATAAAACAGGGTCATCTTGGAAGATGCTAATACTATCAATTTCTTCAAAATGATGTGAAGGTGCTCATCATTTTCACAATGTCATATATTGTACAAAATTTTTATTTCTTTCCCTTCTGTGTTTCCCATTGTCCACTAAGTTCACATGCTCAAATCACCATCGCACTCTCTACTCAAGGGAATTGTGAGAATGTTTTGTAAACCAGCTTCTAATTCACGCAATGTTAACACCACAAATAACTGTTTATGTAGTTTTGTGCACATAGGAATGTGTGTTTTTCCACCCATTAAAACCATCTTTTTGTGCCAAGTATAGAAATAATCATACCCCCACTAATACTTTATGCCCTAGAAAAACTCTACCATATTACAATGACTTCAATTACAGTCATCACTGTGACATTTAAAAGGACTTGGTAGTTACCTCACTTTCACAGCCAGAGTCACAGTCCTCAATAATTACTTATTATTGCCCCAATAATTAGTTATTATTATCAGTCATTACGCTCAGTGTTGTTATTTAGATTCAACCTCAGTGCTACTGGGGATCAAGCAGAAGTGGTAACGGCTCAGACAGAGAAGGGACAAACCTCACATCCTCCATGACAGGGTTTTCAGAAAGTGTACTTGACTACAATACCATAATGTCAACTACAACACAAAATAGTGAAGCAAAATAAAAGAATGTCTTCTTATGAGCATAATTTTAGTTAGCAGCTCTGGGTTCCTCCCCTTTCCTTTGGCACTTTCTCTCCAGAAATCCACTCCTCTCTTGGCTTCCCCTAAGTCTGTAAAGCAAAAGAAAACCCTACAAGCATGTCCACATAGTCCTCCAAGATGTCTCTGAGAGTCATGTTCCCTCCAAGAAGTACACGTGCTGGTGTGAACAAGGGGAAAGTGGAAGACAGGATTGGAGGCCATATCACAACAATTGTGCTAAGGCAGATGAGGCTGAGCTCACAGGGGTCTCAGGGAGGTGACCAAGATATAGGTAGAGGTTGGGACTGTGAAGACTCATTTGTCCTTTCGAGTCTGTAAGAGCCTTGCAGGTGAGCAGGGAAGGAGCTATGTGTGCCATTGTGACAAGGCACTAGTCGGCAAAGTTAGACATTAATTCATACTTGTAAAATAGCCCAGTGCTTTCACCTGGGTGAGTGTATGAGTGTGTGAGTGTCTGTGTGTCTGTGTGTGTGTGTGTGTGTGTGTGTGTGTTTTAGCACTTTCATTTTTTTTGGAGGTTTTGAACATTATTTATTTATATTAAAAATTATTTCTTTTTTTGCATTTTATTTACTTTCTTAATTAATTTATTTATTTTTTCAAATACATTTGTCTCTGCCTAACCCCCACCACTTTCGAGTGGCCAAGGTACTTATGTGATGAAGTTGCTAACAACCATTGTAACCTGAGGCTCTCTAGTTACCTTTCAATGCTGCTTTAGAAAGAAGTTTCTTTTTATACCCTCTTGCTTTCAGAAAGTATACTTGACTACAATACCATAATGTCAACTACAACACAAAATAGTGAAGCAAAATAAAAGAATGTCTTCTTAAGAGCATAATTTTAGTTAGGATAATGGGAAATCATAAAGTATAGGTGTGTAAATCCTCCATGAAGTGTAGTGATTGAATGGAATGGTTTATGTTATGAATGTTACACATTGGTGTATCTTGCCAGTATTTGTTATGATAATAATAATGTACATAATGTTTAATCAAATTAAAGAAATTCAAGTGTCAATAAAACTTAATGAAACTTTCTTATGGGACATTTCACAAAATTGTTTATTATTTATCTTTTGTAAATTTTGTTTACATTCAGGCTATTATGTAGGGAAAGAAACATACAAGAACAGTATTCTTCACAAATGCAATATTGTATACAAGGGCTTCATAGGTTTATGAATATATATATATGTATATATGCACACACACACACCTACACATACACACACACATACATAAAACCACACATATTCCTTCTGGTTAATATCATAATTAGAAATGAGAGTTCTCACTTTCTTTTCTGTGTGTTTGATTTCTGGTAACAAAATTGTATTTCACTCAGTCATTCATTCTTTTAAATATTTATTTGTTTTGTTTAAGCCATTGCAGTTGTCCCCATTGTCCCCATTTGCACACCTTTACCCTTTATAACACATATACACATCTCATGTGCCCTTCCAACAATTGTCAACTTTTCTCAAACCAAAGCCTGTAGAAATAGTGTCTCTTCCAGAATAGAACCCTGAGAAAACTCCCTGAATCTACATTGATTTATTTTCCATCCTGAAAATTAGAAACAAATGATAAAGTTTTCAATTCCTGGGTAGCAGCTTATATCTCTCTCCTTTTACTGGAAGAGAACTTTCCTGGATCATGAACTGATGTGTCTTCCTGCTGCTGATTGGAGAGTCTTAGGCTGTTATTGACGCATGAAGTGTACTTCATTTCTCATTCAATTTCTTCCATTTTATATGATAGATTTGCTGGGTACTATAGACTTGGTTGCAGGTACTTGCTTTTCATCACTTTATTTCATAACAGTCCTTTCTGGCCAGCTGACTAATGCAGCCATTGTGGAAAGCAATATGGATTTACCTCAAAAATTTAAAAACAGAACTTGATTTTTATCCCTGTAGTCCTAGGTTTCAAAATGTATTAAGAAACTCAAAAAAAAAAAAAGAACAAAGGATATGTGAACCCCTTTATGGTGTTATTTAAGAAAAGCAAAATCTTGGAAAATATCCCAAGTGCCCACCAGTAGGTAAATGGATAAAAAACTCTGGTACATTTACAAAATGGAATTTGACTTAACAGTAGAAAGTAAAAAAATCTTTAACATTGCAATGGCATGGATGGACCTGGAGAATATTATGTTAAGTAAAATGACACAGCCAGTGAAAGACAGATATCATATAGTCTCACATAAATGGGAATCTAATGAACAACATAAACTGAAGAATGAAGTAGAAACAAAAGCCAGGACCCATGGACAGACTGAAAACTTTCAGAGGGGAGGGGGAAGAGAGAAAGAGTGAGAGGAGGGGAAGGGTGTAGCAAGAGTATGTGTCTGCTTGACCCATGGACATGGACAACAGGGTGGTGACGGACCCAGGGAAGGGGGTGAGGGATGGGTAAAGGAGTGAAAATAAGTAACATGGGGACATCTCTAATAATTTAAGCAATTTAAAGGAATATTTAAAATAATGAATTAATGAAAGAAATAAAATTTTTTAACCTGAAAACAAACACATACAAAAGAAAGTAAAAGCTCTCATTTGTATTTATGATATGAACTGGAAGACATATGTGTGGATTTATGTGTGTGTATGTATATATACTCATATATATGAGGTTCTTCTATATAACATTGGTTTTGTGAAGAATGCTCTTCTTACTTGTTTATCTTGTTATGCAACAGCCAGAATGTATAAAAAACATAAAAAATAAATAAAAACAAACAATATTTTGAAATTTCCTATATGGAAGTTTCATTAAGTAATATTACCACTTGCAGGCCTTTCGTTCGATTAAAATCAATGCAGAGCATTCTATTTTTAACATCATATTGTTTTTAACATAGTGTTCAGGAAATGCCAATGTGTAACATTCATACACATACACTATTCAAGTCAATCAATATGTTTCATGGAGGATTTATACACTTATGTTTATGAATTTTCATTTTTTCTAATTAAAATTATATTCTTAAGCAGTCATTGTTTTATTCTATTTCATTACGTTGTACTGTAGTTTACGTTATGGTGTCATTGTCAGGTAGAGTTTCTGGGGAAAAGGTATAAAATGAAGCTTTTTCCAAAAGCAGCCTACAAAGATGCCTAGAGCTCCATTGGTTGCAATGGACGTTAGCAATTTCATCACATAAATGTCTTGGCCACTTGTTATGTCCACTCCCACAAATGCAAGTCTTTGCCCTCACACAGGCATCCACACAGTCACCCAGGGGAAAGCACTCGGCTTTATCCCAAGCGTGAATTTCTCTCTCTCTTTGGCAACTGGCCCTTCTGTCACAATAGCATGCAGAGCCCCTTCCCTGTTCTCCTGTGGAGATATTACAGACTGAAGAGGACAAATGAGTTTCAAAGTCCTGGGCTGTACCTACCTATGTCACAGTCACCTCCCAGAGACCCCTGTGACCTCAACCTCCCCTGACATGGCAGAATCACTGCCATGTGGCCTCTGTTCCTGTTCCCACCTGTTTGCTCCACTCACACCTGCACAAGTACTTCTTGCCATGAGCGTGGCTCTCAGAGACATCTCACGGACTATATTTTATATTTCCTTCCTTATGTGAAAGGGTTTTGTGCTTACTTTGGCTTTAGAGCCTTTGAGGGAGTCTAGAGGTGGAGTGGACTTCCAGAGAGAAAGTGCCAGAGGGAAGATGAGGAG